AATCACAACAAAATAACATAAGAATTGCAGACTCGGTTTGATTGAGTCTGAACATGAGGGATAATGAATAAGTGCAACATCCCTCACGCCCCCTAGCACCGGCTTGAGCGGTACTCAAGAGCGGTTCTCAATTCTCAACACTTTATAGCGTTGGCATCAATGATCCCGAAGGACCAGAAAATATAACAACACTGAAGTGAAGTACGGGGCAACTTTTTACGGCTGCCACACGGCACTTGACACCTGCTGTTGTGAAGTACAAAATTCTGGAAACAAAGTGATCCCTCGGAAGCATTAATCACAACAAAATAACATAAGAATTGCAGACTCGGTTTGATTGAGTCTGTACATGAGGGATAATGAATAAGTACAACATCCCTCACGCCCCCTAGCACCGGCTTGAGCGGTACTCAAGAGCGGTACTCAATTCTCAACACTTTATAGCGTTGGCATCAATGATCCCGAAGGACCAGAAAATATAACAACACTGAAGTGAAGTACGGGGCAACTTTTTACGGCTGCCACACGGCACTTGACACCTGCTGTTATGAAGTACAAAATTCTGGAAACAAAGTGATCCCTCGGAAGCATTAATCACAACAAAATAACATAAGAATTGCAGACTCGGTTTGATTGAGTCTGTACATGAGGGATAATGAATAAGTGCAACATCCCTCACGCCCCCTAGCACCGGCTTGAGCGGTACTCAAGAGCGGTACTCAATTCTCAACACTTTATAGCGTTGGCATCAATGATCCCGAAGGACCAGAAAATATAACAACACTGAAGTGAAGTACGGGGCAACTTTTTACGGCTGCCACACGGCACTTGACACCTGCTGTTGTGAAGTACAAAATTCTGGAAACAAAGTGATCCCTCGGAAGCATTAATCACAACAAAATAAAATAAGCCCCATATCGTTGGCTTTGTTTCCTTTCTTTAAATGTTAAAATTCGATCTTTCTAGACAAAAATTAGAAGTTTAAATAATTCTTTACTTACCTTATATGCACCAGATAGAATATTTATTCCTAGAACTGCACTATAAGTCAAAAACTCTGCACAGCAAAACAATAGTGCATTCGAAAAAAGGGATAAAAGAATACGCGGAAATTTCACCAAATTATGTTACACTCCTGACAATTGCATGTCATCTATGCACGCAATATATAACCATGATCTTCATTCATGATTATGATCACTCCAAGTCTCAGACTTCCAGGAAAAATACAGTATATGTATATGTGTCAACCAAATGTTACACTCCTGACAAAATTATTTAGATGAGGAAAAACTATAGAAATAGTAGTAATTTATCAAAAGTATTTTACCTATCTGTTGTTATGAGATATATATCATAATTTTGAATATCAAAAACTGAAAATTTTATAAGCGCTATTAAAAGTGTACACCAAAACAGATTTTTTTTTAAGAAAATAAGTGAAAAATATTTTAGCCCCTTATTTATAAAAATTCTGGAAACAAAGTGATCCCTCGGAAGCATTAATCACAACAAAATTACATAAGAATTGCAGACTCGGTTTGATTGAGTCTGTACATGAGAGATAATGAATAAGTGCAACATCCCTCACGCCCCCTAGCACCGGCTTGAGCGGTACTCAATTCTCAACATTTAATAGTGCTGGCATCAATGATCCCGAAGGACCAGAAAATATAACAACACTGAAGTGAAGTACGGGCCAACTTTTTACAGCTGCCACACAGCACTTGACACCTGCTGCTGTGAAGTACAAAATTCTGGAAACAAAGTGATCCCTCAGAAGCATTAATTACATTATCGTCGGAAGCCGACGATATGCGAATCTCCTCTTGATAATGATGATTCCCATAAAATATGATAAACAAGATCAACAAGGAAAGGTGGCGTTCAATGAACGCAACCCCCATATGACCCAGCAACAAGAACCAATGGCAAGGAGCCCAGGCGGACCCCAAACAAAAACAGGACAGGGCAAAGACAGAGCACGGACAGGTTAATCATTAAATGATAAATAATTTGTAACTGATTAGGAATTCAAAGAAAATAATAATAGGCCCACAAAGGGGAAGGGGACAGGAGACCGGGGGAAGGGGGGGGGGGGGGGTTAATCAAAGAAATAAAAACTACTTACCGTAGACGAGAAAACAACAAGGGACACAAGCAAAAGTGTCACCAAAACAGTATGAAACAACATAGACATACATCTGAGGAACACAGTGGGGCGCCGCCTTGGAACGGTCAGCAGCATAAAATGACTGCTGGGGAGTTTAAACCGGTTAATGGTGCACCAAACCTCGCTCTTAGCCCCACCATGTTCCTATATACGAGACAGTGTAAATAAAATGAATCCCCGCCAAGTGAAATTCTAACAGTTGTCATGGTTACAAAAGGTTAAATAAGTAAAACACTAAAATGATCATGTAGAAACATATAAAAGTAAACCCAATGACCATAACAAAAGTACTCAATGTCCTAAAGGAAGACAGAGCAACAAGAAAATCACCTACAAGGGCCCGACGAAGCAAGGCAGAAGACGAACATTAAGACAATTCAGCCCCAAAGGGCTTTACGAACTATCCATCATAGAGTCTCCCACTTGGTCCGTCAGATGCAATCAAAAGAGGAAAGCGTAGTGTCCAACTGTAAAAGGGTTGAACACTAAACATGCAGTATGTCTTAAAATAATAGTAGGGTCATAACCTCTTTTAATAAAACGTTTAATGATTTTAGTAAAAACAGCAGAAAAATTACCATGACCCAAAATCTTACGAAGTTTGTAAACCACATCGCCATAAAAACCAGGCTGGCTAATCCCTTGTCGCAGAAGAGTTTTTAAATCACTATTGAATTTAGAAATTAAATCAAAGTTACGATTGTAAAATTTAGTAAAATATTTCCGTAATTTATGATAGCGGTAGTCCTGTTTTAGAAGCTTGCTGGTAATAAAAATATTCCGCTCGTTGAAATCCTTTACGTTGTTACAAGCTCTAGCGAATCGAATTAACTGAGAAACATAAACCCCGTAGGATGTTGCATGGGTACGTCTCCATCCAAATGTGGATAATTAACTATACAAAAGTCAAAGTCATCTCTTTTATCATAATTTTTCGTGTGAATAGAATTGTTGTTGATAGTAATATGAAGATCCAAAAATGATGTACTAAAATTTCAAGAGTTCGTTTTATTAAGTTGTAGTTCATGCGGATAAATGTCAAACACCATTTGATCAAATTAAGGATTTTCTAAATTAAAAATATCATCAAGGTATCTGGAAGTATTATTAAATGCGACTATAACATCTTGTTGTTTCTCTTCAGAGAGACTCAACATAAAGTCTCTTTCATAGCAGTACAAAAACAAATCGGCGACCAGGGGTGCACAATTAGTACCCATAGGAATTCCTATGATCTGTTTAAATAGGGTATTACCAAACCTGACATAAATGTTGTCTAAAAGAAAAGAGAGTGCTCTACAAACTTCGTCACAGGTCCACATAGTATAATGTTTAACAATACCGTTAGTAAAAAAAAAGCTTTGTTAGAATTACATGCTAGAAAGGTAACTTTTTCCCGTGCAAAAGTTTTCTGAATTAGGGAAATTAGTTTATCATTGATTAATTTATGTGGCAAAGTTGTATAAAGTGTAGAAAAATCGTATGTACAGACAGTTGAAGCTTGAAAGTTATTAATTTTGAATTTATCCAAGATTTCACCAGAATTTTTAATTGACCAAAAGAGATGTTTGCCTGTGTTTTCATAGACTTTATCACAATATCTAATTACATGTGTTTTAATGGCAGTCAAACAAGACGTCAATAAAATAGAAAGTTTACTTGTAGTGCAAGATGTAGAATTAGCAATAAATCTGGCTTTGTAAGGTTTTTTATGTAATTTAGAAATCCAATACATAATAGGAAGTTTGAGTTCTTTTTCATTAATGTGGACTTTAAGATTGGAAATATTAGTAATATGATTGTTTACAATGTCTTTTTCGGAGGCAGAGGTTTTAGAATACGCATTAGTGCTATTTAGTTCCTTATGCAAAACGTTAATGTAATGGATTCGTCAAACAATTATAATATTATTAGCCGCCTTGAAAGAGCATGGAAACACGAGGCTATCGTATTTGTACGAGAGAGGCGTAGATGTTCTCTCTCTTTTGTATCATAGTCAAATATAAAAACACGTTTCCTGTTCTCACAATATAAAACCCCAGGAAAAAAGAACCAATTAACGAACATCTTAATATGATATTTAAAGCGCTTTCCAGAAAACCCCAGAAAAAAATAGCTAATCAATAGGCATGTTCTGGAGTATTACCTGCATTCCAGTTAACGCACTGTGCATAAATATGTATACGATTTAACTCTTGACATATTTTTAACAGAAAGGGCTCCAAAAGGTTTTTAAAATCCTAGTTGCTGCTATATTTGTTCTGTGATGTTTATAGTTGATTCACAAGGATCTCAATTATGCTTCATTTTTCCAAGATTGGAATTTAAGTTTTATTATTGAATTAGAAAAGTAAGTTACGATTAAAACCGCTTGAGAAATGCCAGTAAGCGTAGCTGTTTACAAAATTGATGTCCAATTGGAAAGCCTTATTTTAAAAATGAAACTCCTCTTTAACCTTGTTATTTTGTTTGAATGATGATTGTGAGAAATGAAATATACCATTTTGTCATAGGGATATATAACTCATTCATGTCAGTTAATGTAATATTGTGTATTAAATCAAATAATGACTTTTGTACATGTGTCATACATTGCCAGTTTATATGTATAAAATCCATTTGATATTGCCTACATTGCAGAACTGACCCGCAACATTTAGAAATAGTATATTAATTGATTGCTAACAAAGTGTCCTTCATATCTATTTAAAACATAATAACTTACACACGAACAAGTTTCCTGTTGTGAAATTTCCGATTTTCAGGTCGTAACATATGAGTGAGTACACCTTACGTTTAGTATCAGTTTATTGTGAAATAATATGGCGATAACTGTAGCGATACGCGGTGATACGGTTATTGTGAAATAACCGTATGTTTACTCGCTATATAAATGTACACTGAAAGTGTGATATGTATTTATACTATTATACTTTTGTACAACGGTGGATATATTCAATTGGTATTTACTTATCATTTTTGCTTTATCACTTTTACACCTCTTACTGTTTAAATAGTCAACATAAAATATTTAATGACAACTATCAAATTCTGATTATTTATTTACATTTAAACAATTTTAGGAATTTATTTGGCTTGTGCTTAATAAATTAGAGGATATTGAATGAGGGTTTTGTTTAAGTTTAATACTGAATTTATTGATCGAGTTGAATAAAATTATATTATGCGAGCCTCTGGCGAGTTTAATAATTCAGTACTGAACTTACACGACGTAAGTTGCCTAGTTAACACATACTAAAACTAAGACGGTTTGAAGCGATAAAGAAACATTTTTCGCGCGTCCTAACTCTATGTTTATATAACGCAAATGACGTCACGTCAAAATATATGCTCGGCCTTGCAATACCATTTTACGTAGTCGCAAAAGCGGCACGGGTATGTGATATAGTGATATCTCAAAAAATATCTGGGTCCGAATCTTTGATTTCTTTCCAGTGAGAACAAACTCAAAAACTAATGGAGATACTCTAGGTGGATTTTAGATAATTTAGATGTGCTAAATTTTGGAGCCATTTATTCTGTTTACATAGAACATTCATGAGTTATTCTATGATAAAACTCTTTCGAGAATCTACAAACAACTTGATTTTACCGTAATAATTATACCCCCACAAACGAAGTTTAGGGGGGTATATAGGAGGCAGCTTGTCGGTCGGTTGGTCCGTCGGTCGGTCCACATCATGGTTTCCGGACGATAACTAGAGTTTGGAATGAGGTATTGTAATCAAACTTGGTATATAGCAACCTAATGTGGAAACTCCGGTTGGTATTGAATTTGGATCCCCTGGGGTCAAGGTCAAGGTCACCGTTACTAAAAATAGAAAAATGGTTTCCGGACAATAACTAGAGTTAGGAATGAGATATTGTTATCAAACTTTGCGTATAGCAAGCTTATATGAAGACCTGGGTTGGTATTGCATTTTGGCCCCCTGGGGTCAAGGTCACCGTTACTAAAAATAGAAAAATGGTTTCCGGACAATAACTTGAGTTAGGAATGAGATATTGTAATCGAATTTGGTGTATAGGAAGCTTATATTAAGACCTGATTTTTTATTGCATTTGGACCCCCTAGGGTCAAGGTCACTGTTACAGTGTTACTTAAAATAGAAAAATGGTTTCCGGACAATAACTAGAGTTAGGAATGAGATATTGTAATCAAACTTTGTCAAAAGCAAGCTTATTTGGAGACCACAGTTGGGATTACAATTAATTGAAATATGTCTTTGTACACTGTTGATAGTTTGTGTTCAAATTTTCCTTCAGACTACTTATTTTTCAAAAAGTCAAAGTTGCTGGTGGGGGTATTAATCACCTTCAGTGATAGGTCTAGTTTGTTTATGATAACGAAATCACAATGATGAAAAGTAAAAATAACTAAAACAACGAAACCACGATGGTGAAACGTCGAAACACGAAATTATATCGAGTTTCTACGAAAGACCGGAAGGGCCATTTCAACTTCATGAATTTCCGATTTCACCTTCATGAATTCACAATTTAAATTTCGTGCATTCCCGTTTTCAAAATACGGAATTCACGATTCAGCTTCATAATTTCACGACTTCAACTTCACGAATTCACGATTTCAACTTCATGAATTCACGACTTCAACTTCACGATTTCAACTGCATGAATTCACGATTTCAATTTCACGAATTCAACTTCGTGAATTCACGATTTAAACTTCACGATTTCAACTTCATGAATTCACGATTTCAACTTCTTGAATTCACGATTTCAACTTCACGACTTTAACTTCATGAAATCACGATTTCATGTTCACGAATTCAAATTCGTGAATTCACGATTTCAACTTCACGAATTCACGATTTCAACTTCACGAATTCACTATTCAACTTCACGAATTCACGATTTCAACTTCATGAAGTAGAAATCGTGAATTCGTGAAGTTGAAATCGTCACGAATTCACGATTTCCACTTCACGAGTAAGTATGTGGTGATTTAACTAATAGGCAATCGCATTTGCATTGCTCTATTTGCATTTGCTACAAAGATTCAAAATAGGCTCTCTGTATTTAATTGATTAATAAACACTGGCACGTCTGTTTTTCCTACCATTTACGGTATCTACAGTCAACAGTTTTATGATTATTCCTTTCACATATTTTACATAGAGATCCAAAGATTTTAGGTTCTGTTCTCAATTTTTGTTGTTCTTGAGGTTTTGTGTTCTGTGTATCTGTATCTTGTAGTATGATAAATTCCATCACGTTGATGAATGTGTTTCACTACATTTCCATCTCCATACACAAATGAACTGTATGAATACATCAGTGTTGCACCTGTTTCATAACAATTTTTTCTAATGGTAAAGTTCATCGGACTTAATCGACATCTATTCTCGGGCATATTGTACATAAATATACATTAATGCCGTGTTGATATAAGAAGTTGACGGTCTTTTTTAATTCTATGCTTCTTACAGTTGTTGGTGTGCTTGAAGCAACGTCATTTCCGCCTACATAAATGATTTCAGTTTTGCAACCAGATATATTCCAGTTATTCAACTTATGTGATATATCTCTCGCAACAGTCCTTCTTATGCAGCATGTCTCAGTAAAAGTGCGAAGCCCGCGTTTATTTATTCCCTTTATAATTGAATCGCCTATTATAAGCGTTTCCTGATTGATCTTGAAACTGGCTTTTCTGGTGCTGTGTGGTCTGATATGTTTATGAAAGATCTACGTTGTCGTTTTTCCATCTCTGTATTATTCGTGACACTTTTAGTATGACTATCCTCAATATAATTTTTGTTAATATCGAATAGTTTTCGGTATTGTTTCTTCCATCGTATGTGTGTCATCATGTTTCGGTGATTTTTCGCTAATGGGGATATTTTGATTAATATCATCCTTTAGTTAGAGACATTCGTTTCCTGCGAATCCAAAAACTGCACACTTCAATCTTAAGAATATCTGTTATAGATTGTATTTTTTTGTGGATAGAATTATCTACCGATTTCACTTGTGTTTCGATGGATATTGCCGCTTCATTGATCACATCAACTTGCTTAATTAATTAATTGGATTTAAGAGATATCTTTTTCTTCACACTTAAAATTCATCTTTAATGTGCACGAATTGTGAATAAATGTGATGTGATACTTCCTGACGTAATTCATTTACACTACTTTGTTATGCAAGTAAAATTTCTTTTAAAGCCACTAACTCAGAATATTGATGTGTTTCCCTTGCATTGTCATTATCCTCAGTGATTTTATCTTCATTATTACTAGAAACATCTTGTGTATAAAGTCCATTGTCATTAACGTTCCCTTCAAAAAAGTATATTAAGATTTGTACCGGTTTCGGGCGCTTCGTCATTCTGACAGTTGTCTTCAGAATTTAAATCGTTTAATATCCTTTGTTCGATACTTTCATTTACTTCTGAGAGGGATAAATCGTTTGATAAAAGACCGGCTTCAATATAATCCAACATTTTCGGCAGATCAGTTTCAAGAAAGTGCCTTGCTTGTTTTCCGTTAACAAGGCATGTGCACTTTGAATGATACATATTAAATGTATAAAGATGCGTCTTACCGTTTGCTACTTTATATCTTAATTTTTACCAATCCATCTTTCTTGTCATACACGGAAATTATCTTCCGGTTATTTTGTGGAGAACTCTCCGCGTAAAAATGTTCTGCAGCCGCCTTCAAAAATTCATAAGTTCCAGTATTGAGCGTTAATTTTTCTCCCCCACCAGTCGGTTCAATGTTCATCTGAAAACGCTCTGTCGCTTGCAATTTCTTTCTCATGGCTGTTTTCTTATTTAAGATAAGGTTTTTATTCCGCTATTTTATCACGCACATTATCATGATTTCTATTAATGATCGTTTCAATCCGCTAAATGTTCATCATCCATTATTGCAAAATGTCGTCACATAACATTCATCAAAATAAATGAAAAATACATGAAAATGTTCGTCTTTTCGTTTCTCACATTTTTTTTTAATTTAACGTTTTTCATACTTTAGATAAATTATTTTTCGTTATTTTTACGTCGCAGATTTAAAGTTGTTTACGTCCAACCTACGTGACGTCATACGATATCATATTATTTTACCATGAAGCCCTTCTAACGTTGTAAGACCCCTCGCATGCTACTTTTTAAAGAATCAAAGTTGTAACGTGAATTTTCTGACAAAGTATTTTCTTTTCCATGAGATTGATAAAACAACATCTATCTAATTAATAAAAACAATTATCTGGTATATCGAAAAACTAACGTGGTAATTTATTCTTTATCTGTTTGCAGAAATATTCCTTTTAACGGTCTTTTTTTCCGGCGAGAGCCCTTCACTTCCTGTATAATTTACAGGGACGAACTGAAAATAAGAAGAGTATCCATTTGTTATTCTAAAATCACTTATGAGATCTGAGAATCTCATTTGCCATTCTAAAATGAAAAGTAAAGGATAGTTCTTGTCATTTTAAGATAGTTCTAAACTTAAATGTAATGGTAAAAAAATGTAAAGGATAGTTCTAAAATAAATTGTCCAGGACAGTTTCTTTTAGTTAAATGGCTAAAATATTTAAGTTCTATTTAACAATTCTTACTCCCACAAAAACTTCGTCACTGCATTCAGTTCTCATTACATTTTCTAGTGAAAAATTTATTTTACGCAAGAAGGTATTGGGTTTATTTGATAAATATCCAAGTTAAAATATTAGTTCATTTACGGAAATATGACGGGTTCGTTTAGGACATTATTGTGTTCCATTGTTTCCAGTTTACTAACGTTACAAGAAATTATTGTGTCATTGTTGTGCAAACTATGCATTTTTTTATGACACTGCATTGTAAACTTAGAACTAACATATGTTACTTAACCAGTTATTCTTCGGCCGAGTTTTTTTAAAGACATTCCTTTTTTTCCCTTTATAACAAGAACTTTTATTCATAAATCAGAATAGGTTTTTTTAATTGTACACACAAGTACATCTGTACAATTTAAAAACAAAACACGTAGTCAAAACTCTATTCTAATTTTTTAATACAAGTGTCTATTACTTAAAGAGACATGAAGTGTCTGAATTTCAGGAACTTCCGTAAATATTTATTTGGAACAGTTAATGTTTCTTGTGACAGTGGCTTCGTAAATAGTGTCTCATAACTTGACAATCTTAATTTTGTAACTTGATCTTGACAACTGACTTTCGTTAATACTTGTAGTTTCTTTTGATTGTGAAATTCTTTTGTGTCTTAAGAAATTAGTTTATATGTTCGTGAGATAACAGATTCTTGTGAGTGTAAATTTCGTTAATATTTCCTTGTGACTGTGACTTTTGGTAACTCTTTCTTTCGACTAAATAAATACGTTAATATTTTCGTGTGACAGATACTAGTAAGCAGATATTTGTGATAGTGACTTATATAGATTTCCTTAAATAGTTTTCCTTTTTTTCCTACAGATAATCTTCAAAAATGCTTAATGCTCAAAATTTTAAAGATTTGGATGATAAAGGCTATACAGTAGTTAAAGACGTGATTACAAAACAAGAGTGTAACACTGCTATCGCTGAATATAGAACATGGCTAGAAAACTTCGGGGCCAAGTTCCCAAAAACGTCTAACTCTATAGTAAAAGATCATAATATCGGTCACATGGAAACGACATGGCGTCTCCGTTTGCGAGTCAAGCCTATATTTGCGCAGATTTGGAAAACCGAGAAACTGCTGACTAGTTTTGACGCTGTCTCTATAGGCCGTCCACCAGAGTCCGGAAATGAGGAGTTTCAAGATCCAAGAAAATACTGGCTACATGTTGATTATACTCCATCTAGAATTGGTCTACATGCATATCAGGGGTCAATTTTTCTAGAAGAACAAACTAAAAGTGACTGGACTTTTCAAGTCATGGAAGGTTCACATCTTTTCATTGAAGAGTTTTTCAAGAAATTTCCAGATAAGGCAGAAGATTCTAGACGATTTCGTCATAACTATCGACTTGACACGGAAGACATCGACTATTTCAAGAATTGCAAATGTCGGTTGACGCGTGTTCCTGTTCCAATGGGTGGCATGATATTATGGGATTCTAGATTGATCCATGCTAATGCAAGGCCTCTTCCGGTAGGTATATATTGTTATTGGTATGCGTTTATTTTTTTAGGCATGGAGGAGCACGTGACCTATTCCGTTATATGGAGGAGCACGTGATCTGTAAACCGTACTTTATTGGCTAATCAACATTGAATTTTTTTAATAAATACAATACAATCAACACTCCATGCACATATGGTTATTTTAAATGGGTATATGAAAGAATATTCAAGAGCATTTAAAAGAATAAAAGGATTAAATATAAACAGGAAAATAGTATTGTAGTCTATATCATCACAACGTTTCCAAGAGAAATCTCAAACGTCTGGATATTACAGACGGGTGTTCTACAAATATACCCTCTCCGATCTACGAAGACGTTTTTCCATTAATGGGGTAAATTGTCCACTAAATGTTTTATAAAAAACGTTTTTTTGTATATTTTTTTTCAAACAATTTTGAAAAAGTTAAATGAAATATCTTTTAATTATTAAAATTTCCCCCACATGAAACCTTTTTAACTTGTAAATATGATATGACTGTGTACATGTTTTGCAGTTGTTAGTATGTACGTATAATCTTGACATTTGTCTCTGAAACCACAACAATTTGTTATATATTTTATTGACATTCGTTTTATTTGACATTGATGTAACACATAGTTTTAGATATGCGAATATAATCTTTGGTAACCCTTAATTTAGAATCGTAAAAATGCTGGTAGATGGCGCTTCGTAACCTTTGTTTCTATGACACCTGCGATATGGGCTAATGAATTGGACATTAAAAAACACCAGGAGGCGTACACAACCCCCAAAATGACGTTACATTGGTCATCACAGGTAATTATGCTGCTGGATATTAACGTTCTAAGATATATCATGATATAAAAAATGATTATTTAAAACTGAACATGTTGCCGTAAAACTTTATCTGACAACTAGATAAAAATGCTACATCAACTGATGACATGTTAGATTGGTATTGCACCGGCTGATGACGTGATAGAGTGCCACATGTTCGTACATTAGCTAATGACGTATAAGAATGGCAGTTACATAAGCTGGTGACTTGTTAGAGTGGTGTATAGATCAGCTGATGGCATGTTAAAGTGGTAGTAAAGTCAGGTGATTGCATGTTACAGTGGTATTTAAATAGGCTGATGACACGTCATAGTAGTAGTTGATGATATGTTAATGTCGTAGCTACATCAGCTGATATATCAGTGTGGTAGTTTCACCAGCTGATTCATAGTTGAGAGGAAGTCACGTCAACTGATGGCATGTTAGAGTGGAATTTACATCCGCTGATGACATGTCAGAGTGATAGTGACATTTGCTGATGGCATTTAAGAGTGATAGTTACATCAACTGACAACACGTTAGAGAGGTAGTTACATCAGCTGATGACATGTTTAGATGATAGTTGCATCAGCTGATGACATGTTAGAGTGGTAGTTACATCAACTGATGACATGTTAGAGTGGTAGATACATCAGCTGATGGCATGTTAAAGTGATAGTTACATCAGCTGATGGCATGATAAAGTGGTAGTTACATCAGCTGATGGCATGTTAAAGTGGTAGTTACATCAGCTGATGGCATGTTAAAGTGGTAGTTACATCAGCTGAGGGCATGTAAAAGTGGTAGTAACATCAGCTTATCTTAGAGTTGTAGTTACATCAGCCGATGGCATTTCGGAGTGGTAGTTAAATCAGTTGATGCAATGTTAAAATTGTAATTACATCAGCTGTGGGTATATCAGAGTGGCAGTCACATAATTGTAATTACATCAGCTGTGGGCATATCAGATCGGCAGTCACATTAGTGACTCACGTGCTTGAGTGGTAGTTACATCAGTTGATGACATGTTAGAGTATTAATTTGTTACATAAGCTGATAACATGCTAAGGTTGAATTAATAAATACATGAGCTGATCACGTATTAAGTGGTAGATACATCAGTTGATGAACTGTTAGAATGGTAATACATTAGCTAATGACATGTTAAAATGGTAGTAACATCAGTCGATGAAATGTTAAGATGGTAGTTACATCAGCTGATGAAATGTTAAAATTGTAATTACATCAGTTGATGACATGTTGGAATAGTAGTTACATCAACACGTTTACATGACAGGTATAGTGGTAGTCATATTTGTTTAGCTGGTCACATATAAGTGGTAGTTACATTAGCTGATGATCATGACATGCCAAAATTGTAGTTACATTTCCTGATGGCATGTTAAGATGCTGGTAAAATCACATATTAGCACGTTTTACATGATAGATAAAGTGGTAGTCACAATAGCTGAAGTCACTTTTAAATGCTGGTTACATCAGCTGATGACACGATTTATTGGTATCACTTGATTACACATTAGTGTGGTAGTCATATCAGATGATTACATATTTAAGTGGTAGTTATTCAAGATAATTACATATTAGAGTGATAGTTATTCAAGATGATTGCACATTAGTCGATGTGACGTAAAACCCAAAAACAAACAAACAAACAAACATATTAGAGTGATAGTTATTCAAGATGATTGCACATTAGTGGTAGTGAGGTAGTCATATTTCGATGATAAGTAGCCACATTAGATGATCACACGTAAAAGTAATTAGTTGATGACACTTTAAAGTGTTACGAATCCACAACAAATTGTTTTTATAAGCTTATTTAGTACACAGTATAATACAGTTTAAGGAAACATGTCAAAGTAAAGCTATCAAAATATATATTACTATATTGATTGCCTTTATTATTTGATAGGGTATTCACCTTATAGAAACGTCTTCAACTCCCGGGATACCATGTCCTACAACTGTTCCAGCTATTGCTCGCAGTGAGGAAGCTATGAAACTATCAGCGATGATAGCATACGATTTTAATGACGGTAAACCGAACGGAGATCATTTAATACCAAAATGGTGTAACACTAGTCAACTTCCAGATGAAATCAACCAAGAAAAAATTCAATCAAATGGACATATTTGAATAATTACGGATCTGACCTGCAGCATATTTTATCTAAAAAATCATTTCTGTTCAAGCGTTATCCTACTGTAATAGCTTACCTATGTTGTTCAATGTGATTGAGCTTAAATTTAAAGTATGTATAGGCAATCCGAGTCTAAGGCAATCCTAATCACATCATTTAATTTTTTATTCATCAATATAAAAAAAATGATACGTTCCTAATGTTTTCATTTGCAAAAGAATCAGTTGACATAAGTTTTAAAATATAAGCAAAGGAGATATATGTTTTGAGTGATCCAGAACTTCTTGAATGACAAGTTGTTTAGATAACCTTGTTTTAAATGAAGGTTTTTAAATTCATATTTACAAATGACTTTTCTGTAGTTACTGTTTAATGTTTGTCTAATGTTTTTAATATAATCAATTTAATTTCTTTCATGTTGATTTCTATTCTTTTCTGCATCAGTATTTGATGTCAAGAATTCAAGAAAACTTTGATATTAAGCAGTGTTATAATTCTGCGATGTTACACCTGTTACTATTAGATTATGTCGTATGAATGTTACAACCTAAAGCACTCCAAAAATATTACAAAACTGAACGCCATTCATTATGTGATACCGATTGCCTACACTGACTATATCATTATTTACGCGATTGCTGGCGTACGAAGTCTGCCTAAGAACAATTTAACTTCATGTAGAGTTTACAGGAAGGAACAAAATATGTGTAGGTTTTTTCATCGGTCATTTTTAAATTACGAACTTCAATCAGGGTTTCTTTTTGGCTATTTTACGATTCGTAAATTAATATCGAAGATCTTTCTGAAATGTATACACGTCTAAACGCTCTATAGGAAGTTCGGAAACAAATTTTTTACCTAATGTCTCGGATATTTGAGATCTTTGACCCTGTTTCCTTCCATTAAAAATTCTTTCAATATCTTACGATATATTAATGACATTTTATAAGTTGTGGAGGTGTTAAACTAACGATACCATCAAGAACGCCAAAAACCCATGTTCATAAAAATACCGAAAAACACCAGAAAATTTTCAGTAACAGTTTGTTTGTTTGTTTGGATTTTTACGGCACGTCAACACATAATTGGCCATATCGTGCGAATGCTATAATAGGCTTAAAATATTATGTAAAACATTGTAAATGACAATAGAAATGAGCCAATTAGATCCTAGAATACAAGTTTATCTCTTTTAAATAATCAATTATGTTTTTTGATTGAATTGTATTAAAAGTTCTTTGAGTGAATTTACAGAATAAAATCTATTACGGGCCTGTGAAAAAACATGACATTCTAGAAGAAAATGCTTGACAGTAAAATTTTCATTACAACCTACACAGAAAGGGGTATTGTCATTTGTGAGGAGATAAGAGTGGGCAATTTTAGTGTGTCCAATTCGGCATCGAAGAAGAACTGTTTGATCACGGCGGTTTGACAGAGATAGAGATGGTGACATATCAAGAGATGGGTTTATATCGTGAAGTTTATTAAAAACGGCATTGTCCCAATTTGCTTTCCATTCAGATGATACGAGTTTATTTATAGCCGGTCTGAAATCACAAGCAGGTAACATAAGTCAGTTTTTTGAAAATTTAATGATTGTTTAGCTAAAGCATCTACTTTTTCATTTCCTCGTATTCCTACATGGTTTGGAATCCAATATAATTTAACATATTTTGTTTTAAGTATATCATGAAATTGCAAAAGAAGTTTCTTTACCATGATATTGTCAGATTTTTTTTTTATTTTTAATGGATATTAAAACAGAAAGCGATCAGAAAATATCACAATTTATCGTGGGTATGCTGTGCTATGTATGACAATGCTAAATCGATAGCTGTTTGCTCAGCAGTAAAAATTGATGCATTATCTGGTAACCTCATACTAGATGTAAATTTATTTTCAAACACAGCCGACCTACTTTGCAACTTCTTTGAAACCGTCCGTTAAATATGTATAAAATCTTCATGTTCTTCCTTATTGCTAGAAACTTCTCTTTGAAATATTTCAGGTGAATTGATGCCTTTTTTATATTGAAAGGTTATATTTATTTCCGGGGAATTATAAGTCCAAGGTGGAACATCCTCATGCGTCATTTGAAAGGAATACTGTCTGGATTAGATTTAAGTTTATCTAAATCATCTTTTAAACGAAGGCCTAAATGGTTTAATTTCTTTGGTTTGCTAACAATTTTTTCAGTATAGCTTGGTTTTGAAATAATATTTTTCGCTGGATTTTTCCTATTAGATGAAATTCTAGTTGCATATTGAAGTGATAGTTTTTTACGACGAAGATAAAGCGATGGTTCCCCAGCTTCCGCATATAGACTTTCTACAGGTGAAGTGCGAAAAGCACCTAAAGCTAAACGTAAACCCTGGTGATGTATGGTATCTAGCATTTGAAGATATGATTTTCTTGCGGACCCATATACTACAGAACCATAATCTAATTTTGATCGGATAAGACTTCTGTATAATTTCAGTAATGTGGAAGAATTTGATCCCCAATTTTGTACTTGATAAAACCTTAAGTAAATTTAAAGCTTTTAGGCATTTAGTTTTTCAAAATGTTTAATATGTGGTATAAAAGAAAGTTTTTTTATCAAATATAATTCCTAGAAACTTAGCTTCATCAACTACTGGAATTTTAGAACCACATATGTAAAGTTCAGGGTCATTATGTTGTTTTCGCAATCGGCAGAAATGAACACATTGAGTTTTTGACTTTTCTATTGCCCACCTTCTGAATTTTATCTAAAGGTTGTTGAAAAGTTGCCGTTCAATTTTTCTCATACTTTCGATCGATAGCAGATAAGAAAAATCGTCTACATATAGAGAAACAATCTATGCCTGGTGTAAGGCGCTAGCAATATTGTTTATTTAAGGGGTAACGAAGTATGCTGTCCTTGAGGAACACCTTGTTCTTGTGGTGATCCTCAGAAAAAGTTGAAGCCAAGTCTTACTTTAAATGCCATCGTTTAAAAATCCAGAAATGAAAAAGAGGAAGGTCTGCCTTTAAGTCCAGCATCCTTTAGATCTGTGTAGGATACCATATTTCCAAGTGTATTCGTAAGCCTTCTCAAGATCAGAAGAAAATTGATACACAGGTGGTTGTTTATTAAGGCTTCTCTAATAAAGGTTTCAAGTCGTAGCAAGGATGAGTCGTTTTGTACTTCGCTGTTTACGAAACCTGACTTCGAAAATTAGTAATATTCCATTATTTTCTAGATACCAAACTAACCGATTATTTATCATTCTTTCGAATGTTTTGCAGAGGCACTTGTCAGTGAAATTGGGCGATAATTTGTAGGGTCAGTTGAATCTTTTCCAGGTTTAGGGATAGGAATAACCAACGCATTTTTCCAAGTGTTAGGAAATTCACCAGACACCCCAAATTCTGTTAAAAATTTCAAGAAGCAAGTCAAGAGATTGGGGCGGTAGGTGTTTAAGAAACTGGTAGTAAATTTCGTCCGGGCCTGCAGCACTGTCTTTTGCAGTTTTAATTGAATAAATTAAGTCGTCAATAGAGAAAAGGGAATTATAGTCTTCGTCATTTCTTGAAGTAAAATTAATATGTTCTTCTCAGCTTTACATTTGTGTGTTGAAATTCATTTGAATAATTGTTTGAAGAAGAGTTCTTTTCAAATGTTTTAGCCAAAGTTTCTGCAATATCCGTTTTTTGTTTTGGCATATTGGCCATCACCAGTTTTTACAGTGAAACATTTGGATCTCTTTTTATACTTACCACTTACCTTTTCCGTACTGCAGTCCCAGACTTTCTTAATAGGAGTATTTGATTAATATTTGAGAACATTGATTTGCCAGGATTTGCGTTTAAGACAGAACTGTTGATCTCTCTGCTTGAGCTCTAAAATATTCTAATTTTTCAAGGTTTTCTGTTGTAGGGCGATGTTCAACTTTTTTAAGTGAGGGCTTTACGTATGCGAAAGCTTTTTCTTACATTCATCGTTAAACATGGCTTTTTGATTTTGTTACTATTTATTTGTTAATGGAAAACTTTTGAAGGCAATAGTGTAAATGCTGAAGAAAACGTTTCAGCTATTTCAGCAGAAGTGAAATTAAATTCATTTTTTTGTTAGATCAATGGAACAGAGACCTAGAAAATGTTTCCCAATCGTGCTTTCTTAAAATTTATAAAAATTGGACGTCTTTCATTTGGTATAGAGTCATTTGATGTAAGTAACAATGGAAAATGATCACTGCCGTACTGTCATCTAACTTTCCAATGCAGTCCAGGAAGTTAGCCGGTGGCGGAGAGGTCCAGATGGCCAAGAGTCCATGTGTGGATGTATGTAGGTGTCGATTTTTAAAACAATAGCTGAAGTTATCTATCTTTTTCAGATTTATTACCCTTGTTATTTGTAGATGTACTGCCCCCACATGGATTATGAGCGTTTAAAAGTCGCCCTAAGAGGAAAGTGATTGTTGGTAATTGTCTCGAACCAATCAGGCTCTTGAAGTCATCCACTTGTTACCGTGTGATATTTGGAGGAACAGAGTATAGCGAAGACATTGTTAGGTCGATGTAGGTACCTGCACGCTGTGGTTGTATTGTGTTAAGTTTTGTTTTTTTGTGGCCCGCATTGGTGCTGTTGTACACTGATGTTCTGCTCTAGTGCGTATTAGTTTGGTGCTGATACCTTTGTATGAGATATTTCTTTAGGAGCCTGGTTCCTGAATAACTTTGGAAGTTATTTTGATAAGTGAGTGTCTTATATTGACTTTAGTGGGTTTGTCACACTATTACTTTTATCTATTACTTGATTAGTGATGATGCCATAAGGTTATACTGATTACTCCGTTTTTTAGACAGAAATTTATTCATTTTAGACTTTATTGGATCTTCTGCTTTCGGAGTGGGAGGGAGAGGTGATAGTCCTCATCCTGCTATTCGGGTTCGTGAGTGGATCGAAAGATTTTGTGTTGTGGGTTCCGCATTGCTTTTTTCAAGATCTGTGTGCCCCCATTCGCTCTTTGAGCGTTGTTTTGGATGCTTTTGACGAGTGTATTTGATGCTTGCGGTTTGTTCTTGGAGAAGAATTTAATGGTGTAAGAGATATGAAAGTAAGATGCTTCTTGTGGTGTATGCTTTGAGGTATGGTATTATTGGGGGCCTTTGACAAGTTGACTTGTTGCGAGTCGACCATCTTAAGATTGTGTCACTGAGCTGATCGACGTTGTTTTTGGTCCTTGTGTTCACGCTTTCGTGCATTCTTGAAAGAAAATATTTGTGTCGTTATACTGCTGCGTGAATTTCTTTTCCTTTAACACGGGATGACGGGAGTGGCGTATGCGTTCTCCACAAGTGGCAATTTTCGGACGGGCGTTAGTCTCATTTTGTATGTTTGTCTGCTTGCGAATGTCTGCCGTTCACATTGTTCTTGTGACCATTTGGATTGTACTTGCATTGGTTTGGAATGTAATCAACAAGGAACTTTAAGGTAAACTTCGAATCGATATGGAAGAATGGGGTGTAGAGGAATGTAGCTATAGGGTTTCGTTGGATTTATTCTCTTTTGATAGATGCGTTGTATTTGAACTGCTGCGTTTTATTTCTTTCATATCTTCTCTGCCTTCGGCAAGTCAGCAATTTGTAACGCCCTTGCTGGAGTTCTGACTGGTGAGCTGGCAGGTTTGATCGATATTGAAGAAGTTGTGTTTCAAGATTTGCTGCTGTCTTTCGCTCTACCTCTATCAGAGTCACTTGTTGCGGGTTTTTGAGCAGATTTAGCTTCCAATTAAGTGAGTTGTTTTTCTTATGGGTGTTCAGTTAGTATTTTGGCTGTTTGATTTTATTATCAGAAACGGGGACTTCCATTACTGAATCGTTACATTGAATCTTTTGGCGATTTTCGTTTTTTGGTTTGGGTAATCT